TACCTTCGTCTTCATGAGCTGCTTGGAAATAATGGAACCTCACAATTTGCACTTATAACTGGAAATATTCCATGCTTTTCTGTTTTGTGTTGCCTGTTCTCTTTTGCTTTTATAGTCCTGGTTTACTGTGAGGAAAGTAATAACTGAAATAACAGGAGCCATAACTTGTAAATATAAAGCTGCTTTCTAGTATGAGACTTCTAAGCTTGATTTAATCTCTTAATCAGACTCCCCATGCGCTCTTATTCTTGCCATGTTGCTTTTGATTAGGACTTTGAAGATGATAGTGATAATTAGCGCACACGCATGTGCTTGCTGGAAGCGGGAGTGAAGAACTCAGCCCAGCAGTCTCCTAAACAGAGCAAACTGGTAACCAATTGATTATTTCTAAGTAGGAAGACAACTACTTTGCATAAGAAAAGATTCATGTAAAATGCAATTGTTGCTTTTATAAGCCAGGATTATTCATTATTATGTATCTCATAAAACTGTAATCCTAATTACATGGAAGGCTACATGTCAGATCCACAAGCCAAATCACTCCTATATCCTCTAGTCCTAAAAGATTTACTCTAAAGACAGGACTAATTGTGCAGTATTGTCTTTTTTTGTGAACAATAATCAGATTTTCTTTTAAATTAATGTTTTCTTGAGGCTAAATAGGATAAACACAATACATAGATTAGATAATTTGGAGCAATGCACTGCTAAAGAGATGAGACATTGTAGGATCTAAGTAATATTTTCTGGATAATTCTTGCTGAATCCTGTTGTGTTGGATGGGATCAAGAAAAGCTGACTGTGTACTAACAAGAGGATAGTAATTCAAGAAAAAACATTAGCAACACTAAGAGATAGTTCCTCTTCTTTAATGATTAACTGTACTTGAAGAAACACAGTAAGACATCAATGAATTTCCAGTGCTTTGGATTGTATTAGATTTAAAAAGGGAATACTATGGTTTATGCTTAGGTACAAATTATGGATATGAAGAGGCTTATCTTGAAGATTTACTATTGCTTTTTAAAAAATAAAACTAATCAGAAAATAGTAATACTTTATGCATGAACATTACTTTTCATTTCAAGGTGCTTAAGAAGCATTATCTCTATGTAGAAGCTAAAAAATTGCTCTCCAATTCCCAGAGCTACTCAGCAACTGGTAAATGACCAGTACTTTCGGATTTGTACCTTATGCACATACATCTAAACACCTTCCTTAATGGCTCTGAGTATGCACCTACTCCTCTTAAGCTCTAAAAATAGTTGTACTTCAATGTGCTTGTATATGGCCCTTTACAGGATCATGGCTTACATCATCTGTACTCCTTTGCATCATTTTTGGCATCTAGCTCTACAGGACATGCGGTATTTGGTGCTGAGCCGAAAGGTCACAGCAACCGACAAGCTATTATCTGATGAAAAATATTGCCTGTAAAAAGAACGAAGTATGCTTATTACCGGGTTTTGATATAATTGCCATCAAACTCCCACCAAAGCTGAAAATAAGACTTTGTACTGCTGTTCCTTCGGTGTTTTCTAGGACTTTGTTGCTGAAAGCAACCATTTATGTTGTGGTTCTCCTTCCCCTCATCACTTACTGGAACCTATTTGGTTTTGGCGACTGATTCTATGTGTAATAATAAATCAGTGCTGATTGCAGCATACCTTGCTACCTTTTTTAGGTTTTTTTGCTATGTACCTTGGCTAGTTTATTTAGCTTTTTTACCTTGATTTAGCTTTTTTACCTTTATTTAGCTTTTTTAGCTATTTACCTTGGCTAGTTTGTGTATGAGGCGTGACTCGGTATCCCGCATCAGTTGTCATAGCCTATATGATAACTAATTTGCAATATTTGCAGTTAATCCAGCTGAGAGGTGATGGTGGCATATATAGCAAACAATATGCCGGTAGCAATTTAGCAAGGCAACTAAATTTTCTGCTTTGGTGAGCTGAATTAATTGTTTTAGAAACTTGGTAATCTTCTCCACTAGAGACCATCGGATAACCTTTGTTTTATGGCTACCTGGAAACGGAGAACCCTTCCCTTGGTGGAGGTAACGACACTGGAGACCGTTGTGTTGTTAAGCTCAAATCACCTGCCGCATCCTCTCTGTACGGAGTAGGGGCTGAACGAACCCTTCCCATCCATTTCCTATAATCAGCATGATGCAAAAGCTTTATTTTGTCTTCTAAAAATACTGCAGCTGGGTTCTCTGTGCGGGCTGTAGCACTAAGCACTGAATGCCAGCAGTTCCTTACAACAAACTTGGTTTTATGCTTTTAGTTCTGTTATTTAGGAGTAGACTTTTCAGTTACTTACCTGAACACCATCTACTGTTGACTGCAACGAACACGTAAGTTTAAATAACGGATTATCAGCACATAACATATATGAACGCAAATATTATTTATGGAGAGAATGAGACCCAATTCCTTTATTTCTTCACAAAACAACATTGGTTTGGGAAATCCGACAAGTGTGGACACCAGGAAAGCTGGCATGAATACACCTGTTGGTAAACTGCAGCTAGCATGTGATAGCAAGAGCCTGCTATGTGTCAAGAGTACATAATAATATTGTAAATCTACACGCTGAGTAGTACTCTTGTTTTGAGACTTCTGACACTCCTGGGAGTACCGCTGCTTGCTTCACCCTGTCTGCAAGTCATGCTAAAGCCTAGTCTGTATCAAGGCATTCTATTATACATCTTCATTTATCTCTATTATCTCGCCCAGTTTTTTGTCTTAATTAATGCACGGCGCACTAGAGCACCCTTCGCTGCTGATTTATACTGGTGTCACAAAAATTGCGACCTGCACGAAGGAAAATCCCTCCCTCGAAAGGATGATAAATATCTGCTTAAGCTTGTAATGACATTAAAAGTTAATGTTTTCCTGAAATGAATCAGAAGCAGAGGTGTTTGAAGGAAGAGTAACCCAGAAAGCATGACCAATTGAAACCAAAGTCTCCTAATGCGCTGCTTCGGGTACCCCTCGGTGTGAATGACACTTCAAAGCACTAAGCCACTTCAGGAAGAAAAGTGATGATACTTGTGCACTGACAGCAGTCGAGAGGCTCTTACAGGAACAGCAAATTTTAAAGGTTTTTAAACATGCCTGAGATCTGGCAAGAAAGGAAGCTGAAAGAAAGACCACGAAATGAGGGGTTTAAGCAGAAGACAGGTTTAACATGGGATACTGGACACCCAGGCTTATTGTGGACTGCTGTTGAAGAGCTCTTAGTGATCAAAATGTGTTTTTTTTCATTTTTTCATGCAACTTAATTTCATAATAACAGTGACCCTAGAGGCATTCAAATATCCCTAGATACACAGGGAAAGAAAGAGGTGTAAGTTATTTGGGATAGCCTGAAGAAGAGAAGGCTGAGAGGGAACCTTATAAATGCTTATAAATATCTCAGAGACAGGACAAGGGGCAACGGGCACAAACTGAAGCAGAGGAAGCTCCAGCTGAACACGAGGAAGAACTTCTTCCCTCTGAGGGTGATGGAGCCCTGGCACAGGCTGCCCAGGGAGGTTGTGGAGTCTCCTTCTCTGGAGATATTCAAGACCCACCTGGACGTGGTCCTGTGCAGCCTGTTCTGGGTGACCCTGCTTTGGCAGGAGGGTTGGACTAGATGACCCACAGAGGTCCCTTCCAACCCTGACCATTCTGTGATTCTGTGATTCACCACACTGGCATACGCCAGCCAACTGGCATCGCGGGCAGTCTGACTTTGCCTCTCCTACGCAAGGTGACGTGCTTTCGTAGCTAACAGCCAAAGCACCTTGGGAAAGGCTGCAACCCCCTCCACAGTCCGCATCAGCCTGTGGACTGGGTGGTTGGAGTTTGGCCGTCTCTCCCCAGCTTCCAGTTTGTACGCTGCTCTACAAGCTCACAGCTCTACAAGCTCGCAGCTCTTCCGCACCAGCAGCCTTGCTCTGGTTTTGTGTGAGATATAATCCGTTCTTCTTGTTTTCTCTTGTCTAGAAACATTTCCCAGTTCTTACCATACTGGTATTTTCTGGAGGAGGAACAGCTAGAGCATTAGCTGAAGTGAGTTTTACAAAGTCTAGTCAATCTTATCCTCAAATTTAGAGGCATTCCTATATCATGAATGAAGAAATCCCGACTTCATGTCATTCCTGGAATGCCAGTGACAGTGAACTGGGACTTGGAGAAGTACCAGTAGAGAGGAAAAGAAGCAGCAGGACTGAGGCAGAGTATCATGTGATTCTTCTTGTTTCCTGAGCCACAGAGAATACGCTATGCAGGGATACGCAGAGGTTTCTCAGCAACTCACATGAGATGTGCGCAGCTCCAAAAATGGCATTTTTCAATAGCATTATAAATTCTTACGTAAGCTGTTCGCAAAGCTGTGTGAACACAGAAAACTGGCAACTGCTGCAACTCCCGTTCCAATGGACTCATCTGTATTGCTTTACAAACATCATCAAGGATAATACATTCCTTCTGCTGCTACTTACAGAGAAAAACATGTTGTGGATTAAAAAATATTGTTTCCTCCCGTCCTCCCATTCTGCCACCACAGAGTCAAATTATAAGGATCCACGTTCTGACTGATCTAAGCCTTCTTGCCTTCAAGATTCCACAAACCATTTCGAACTGCATCCTTTGGCATGCGAGAGAGACGAACGGGCAATGTATGTATTCTGAACACTGCTGAGGCAGGGAAAGAAGATATCCAGGATGCAAACATGTACAATATAATTATATATCAACGGCTCAACATGTCTAAGGTGATCAGAGACTATAAATACACGTACTGTTTGAAAGCAAAGTGATGGCAAGGTGCATGCAGTCCTTAAATTATAGTTTCCACCACGTTATTTCTTGTAACAGTTGTTGAACAAGCAATGATATTTTGTTCAGTTCTAAAACACATCTCAAAAGCTTATAACAAACTTCAGGTGAAAAATCTTGGCAATACCCTTTGGCACCATGTACTAAAGTTAATGAGCAAGCCTTAAACAGAAAGCCATTATAATGAACTTTATTTAAATTATTGAGCACACCATATTCTTAACTTTTTAGCGCTTCCCAACGATGTGTTTACTGTATGTTTCTATAAATTACACATTCATTGCATAAAACTGCATTCGTTTCTCTATCAGCATACTATATAAATTATCACAAAAACAGATGAACCAACAAAAGATTCTTGAATACATGTAACATTGGTGGGCAGATAATATCAGTTATAGCTGATCTTCATGGTAAGCAGCTCTGAATGAATCCCTCTTGAATTCATTTAATTAAGAAGCTGGAAAGAAAGAAAACATGATTAAATGCTGAAAAATGCATATAAAATATAGCACCACAATTATTGGAAAAGAATAAACAAGGATTTCAAAACATTCATTTGAAAAGTCATTTGACATTTGTGTAATAATCTCTTAAGTTTTTATATCCCATTTAGTAATCACTAAGCGAGCATGAAAGTTATCAAATAAAACTTGAGTGACTGAAACTTAAATTTGCCCGTTTAAAAAAATTAAAAAGCAAAATGCACTTCAAACATCTGTTCTCTTTAATCAAGTTCTGCATCTGCTCTTACTACTTAAAGTGCGAACTACCGCTCCCAGGAGGTGTTTCAGATTCATTTAAAACATTCTTCTTCTACTGCTGAAGTGGCCCCAGAGTGGGGAGGGCATGGAGAACTTGGCAAGGCTCTGTGTAGGGTTGCAGACTCTTCAATTCTTAATGTTTTAATAAATTGAGAAGTTTCAGGTGACGTTGCTGTTTCTTTACCCCTGGAACCAAACCCTGTACGTTTTAACAAGTGGATATATATTGTGTGTCACACCTTTCCAAGTACTATACCAAAGAAGAGTTATCTCATAAACTGGGAAGGGGGAACGGAGAAAGACTTGTAGACTGAGTTAACGGTACAGAAACCAAACCAATGAGCTACTGAATGGCAGGGTTTTTCACTGCCTCTAGCTTCGCATTAAAGATCCTTCATCTCCTTATAGATACGCAGTGTGCTCTGGCATACACATGTTGCAGTGATTTCATCAGTTTTCCATTCATGGTATCAATAATTAATCGTGACAAAACATAAACACAAGTGCCATAAGCTTCAAAGGCTGTACCAGTATAAAGATGTTCCCTGCTGCAAAAAGTTGACAAGCTCATTAGGCAAGACATCCAAACCAAGGCAGAACAGATGGCAGCCGCCCGGGTGCTGGAGGGCGAGGGGATTATTGACAGAGGAAAGCTGGCAAGAACAACGGCACGAAGAGGTGAATCACAGGGTGCCGAGCGGAGAAGCCAGAGAACGCTGACCTCACCAGACTGACAAGATAACCCAGGCTGGACTTGACGATCTTGGAGGTCTTTTCCAACCTTAATGATTCTGTGATTCTAGGAGAGAGATGTGTAAGGCCACGCGTAGGAAAGGAACTGAGAGGAGAAGAGAGAGGAATATTGATAGTGAAATTGAAAAAGTTTGGGGGGAAGAGTGGGAAGGGCTGAAGATTGCAATAATCAGGCAGGTAGCGCTGATAGGCCCAGGGGGGGTAGAAGATGGAATGATACAACTGCAAGCAAATACAAATAGGGCAGTGTCATTTTGGATAAATATGCTACTACCACAGCTATTGCTCCTCAGTTTCTGTCTAGAAGTGAACTGCATCGTTAGCAGCTGAGAGACATGATACAGAATATGGATAAGGCAAACACAGCAAGTTATATGGAAGCTGTAAAACAAGCTTAAGAGGCTAGATACACAAGCAAGGAAAAAGCCTAAGGCAGAAACCCACAAAAAAGCCAAAACCACCATAAAAAAAATCATAAACGAGAGAGTAGCCAAAAAGAAGGGAGTGGGGGGGTGAGGAGTGGGCAGGGTTTCTGAAACATCTAGAATAACAAATTGGACAACATCTGCTGGGGTAGATCTGCAAAAAGAAAAAAGAAATCATGTCTTCTTCTGCAAAGCAGGGGCAGGCAGAAGACGAAAGGCTGGCCAAACTGCACCCTTCCAGACGTTAACTAGCTGGAAATGAGTCGAATAAGGAAGAGCAAATGATGAACTGCAAGGCTTGCAGGAAAGCCGTAAAAGCAAAAAGAGGCATCCTCGACGGTGGCAATGACAGAAGGAAGGTTCTGCTTGTAGAGGAGCACGCCAACTATTTGCCTCGGGAAGAAGCATACCCTTCCTAAGAGATCTGCTACGGGGCCAGACACCTGGAATTCGCATCTCCTGTTCTTTGAAGGACTGGAAACCAGCACTGGATGTGGACACGTCCCACAGAGAGGATCGGGGAGCTCTGTGGATGTTCATGGGTTCAGCGTGCTGTTGGGTGGTGGAGACTGAGGTGGTTTGCCTTCCATTTCAACCGGCAGCTGTTTTGCTGAAGAACACGGTGTCTGCCCGCTTTAAGAGAAGTAGTATAGAGAGCACTAAATGTAAGATGCTCTGTTCTGACAACTGTGTGTTATTTTTTGCCTGTCTTTTAAGATAGTCCTGATTCCTGCTGTTTCGAAGGGAGCAGCCTATCCTGCTGAGCACTACAGACCTGAATGTGAATCTGAGTGTTTTATCAGAAGTTGATTTACCAGTTCATAAACCTTAGGTGAACCAATTTAGTTATGCATGAAATCAACATGGAACATCTGAACAGTTGTTAGCAGTGCTCACGTTTCTTAATAAATTTAATGTGTTTGAAAATACTATTTGTTCTACTTACTAATATTTTACCAGTATATTTCCAAGAAATAACTATTCCATTTTATTCACTTGCCTTTAATTTCAATTGCTCAATATCATACAGGATTCCTTTACTGAAGCTAATTTAATTACAATGCGAGTAGACATTTCTTATACGGTGTATACAGTGAACACCAGGAATTTTCAAGCTCTGGGGCAACTTGCAATTCGTCTGTTCTTGTTGCATTGCCTGTTTTTGCTCTAAGCAATGAATGAATACTTCATGTCTGACTTAACATTTACATTTTTTTGATGAAAATAAAGCATCTTTTATTTATCACGCCTTCTTGCAGCTTAGTTCATTTTCTCTGCTAGTCAGTACAGGGTATGTATTTTCCATTCTGCCAATCCATAGTTCAGAAGGCTGATTATTTTTTATGGTTTAACTAACAACTCTTCACATTACTCTTTTAAATAATACCCAAATACAATGGCTATAAAGGATAACCTGCTAATGAAACAAATGCAGGCACCAAAAAATTCTTTAAAAAGCTACTTAATGCAATCTGGTTAATGAAAAGTTATATGAAAGCTTCAAATTTTCAGGTATTCATAACTTTTAAATTCAGATTAAAACAACAGAAATTGATAAAATGTAGACTTGAAAGGACAACTGGAAGTGTCAACAATAATGAAACTGTGCTAGAAACTTCATCTAGAAAACAAAGCAGAAAAGACAACACAGGGCTGCTAATAGGTTTCAGCCAAAGCCACAAAAAATTAATTGAGCAACTTTTTTTAACCTCAGTAAACAGTGGATAAAACTTTTATATTCCTAACACTCCCAGTAAGACAATACTGTGCTAGTGTACTGATGTCTTCTGCTTTGTTCTTACCATCCTTCCTCATTCTTTTTAATATCCTGTCTGGTTTTTGGACTGAAACTGCCTAAAGTGAGGTTTCCAGAGAGCCCTCCAAGCCCCTTCCTGACTAGCAAAGCTAACTTTGGCTTATAGTTAAGCGTAGTCTCTCTGTCATTCCCATCTGTATTAGCTGACAGATAAAATTATGTTGATATAATGAAATTTTATTGCTCAATCACTGAGTATCCGATACTTAATATATCGCTTATTCACTTTAAATATTGGGGTGAGGCAGCTTCCAAAAAGGATTCTCTTGGATATATCACCACTCTTGTCTTACCCAGAAAGCATCATAAATAGGAAAATATTCAACAGCATAAAATAAAATGATTACATTATCTTTTAACAGTTAATGACACCCATTAAAATAAAAGTTTTAGCAAAATGAAAAATTTCATCTAGTTCCCATAAAAAGGTGGATTAGTACAGGCATGAAAAAGCCCTGCCATGGTAAAAATGGCTCTAGCAGAGAGATCTGTTACTTGCTAGCTCATCCATCACGACTGTATTTGCTCAGTAAGTCACCTTCATGATGACCTCCATTTTGCATCACCTCTCCCATTCCAATGCTTTATTGTATAAAGGACTTTACCAGAGTGCTAATTAAACCATTTTTTCCACAATCCTAGCCTTCAAGAAGAAAATTCTGTGGAATGAAGAACCAAAAACTTAATTGGAAAATGTCTTCAGTGGATGGAAAAAATGTGAACAAAATGCTACCCTCCCTTCCTACATACGTGCCCTCTAAATGGCACGCTTATATATTTGTGCTCTTATCCAGCACTCCTCTGGACATCTGGCTGTTTGTCACCGAAATTAACAATGACAATGGCATTACCAGAGTCAAAGAAACAGCATTCCCAGTACTTTTAATCATGCACATTAGAAAGGGAAATAACAGTCTTTCTCCAGTTCTTGACTCCTGCCTTCTGTTTATCCACCTCTGTTTTGATTTATCTTCACCACCCAGAGGTCACTGGAGAGAGAGAGGATGCACAGCAGGTTATGTTACTGTTTCACTTTTTATCAATGCATGCTGCTTCAGAGAGGACTTATTATTTGGTCGTTCAGTGCCAGAGAAAAGAAATGATTCAGTATATTTGCCTCTTTTTTTTACAAGTAGGACCGTGAAGTTGATGCTTGAGATCATGCATATAGCATTAAAACAGCCTCAGTTTTCTTTAACTGTTCCTTTAGGCAGGCTAACATAAACATTCTTTTTTTCTGATAGATCATTAGTATGCGTTGTTGTTAGCACTGTTAAAGGCAAAGCTTTACTAGCCTGAGGACAATTTAGCAGACAAAGACTGATAGTTTCAAGGTGGAATCTACAACCAGTGAAAGTAAAAAGACAGAGTGAAAGTAAAAGGACAGACGTATTTCACGTCTTAAGATATATCTACACCGGGATCAACTGGTGCGACACAGAGCTCCTTGGAAGATCCTAAAGAATTCAGATAAAAAGATTAATATATATCAACATATATGACTGTTAAAGTCAAAACGCAGGCTATTGGGGGGGAAGAGAGAATAACAGAGGTTATATACTTGGTCCTCTCAGTGTTTTGCATGCTGACTTCATTAAAATTTGTAAGAGCAATGGACATAAAGCAAAGAGGCTTCTCTTATGAAACACTATAGCATTGTCACGAAGCTGACATGGTTGAGATCACTGAAGTGTCAAAGAATCAACAGTATGTTTATTTAAAATAACGCAACAGAAAACAGGGTCAGAGCTACCCAAGAGACCAACAGAAATTTGAAGGATTTAATGCTGGAAATGACCAGATAAGTAAATTACACATCTGGGAAACTAGCAAATGAAATTTAATAATAGCAAAGCAAAAGGATCAGTTCTAGTGATGGTGTCCAGTAATTCTGCATTTAGTGAGGATTTAAGATTGAATGATTAATTTATTCCCATGAAAACATGAAGAATCTAGGACAGTCCAAGTAAGCCTGTAAGATCTTGCTTAATTCTGCAGGAGCAGAAACTTTATAAAAAAACCCAAAGAAAACTGTGTAATACTTATCCAGGTATTAAATGTTCCTCGTGTACTTATGCATCCACAGGGTTCATTCTTTTATGAATTTACTTGATAGGTGTTGCTGATTAGTAAGTTACAAGTGACACTGAATCTACTTAGCTCCCTAAGACAGAATTTGGTTTATGGATCTAATAATTCCTTCCTAGTAACAACCTGATGCAGCACTACGTCATTTTAACAGGGTTGCGATGAATCATTCTTTTCAGCACTATCCTGGATTTCTTTTATTTCTTTCTTCACCAGCTTTAACACACTAACAGGTGCACTTCTGTTCCACACGCGTTGCATATCAAACTAAATATCCTGAAACTAAACTTTTCATGGAATTCAGAAGTTCTCTTCCACCCCCAACTCACGATGTCCTTTATTCTTAGCTTGGATACTAACAGAGGAGTACAAAATTTACATAGGGCTCCAACTTCTGCTAGACACTCCAAAGATAAGATGTCTGATTTGCTGGAATAAATTCATCCCAAATTTACAGCAAACAGATTAGCCAGAAAAGAGGGGAAAGCCCTACACTACTTGAATTAAGATTCTTAAAGCTTACAGTACATGATACTACAAGATATGTGGTAGACCTGAGCAATTAAGCCTGCAATAACATCGATGGTACTGTGTAGGCACACCAACTCACAGAGCACACTGATGTTCATCCACAGACATCCTAGGTATCACACAGCAGTCCGAAATACCTAGTGCCAACATTCACAGAGCCATCCAGGGTCTGGAAGTTGGCACAGTCATATAAGCATCTTGTTAATAGGCGCTAAGAACCTTCCTCAGATGAAAGAACTAAAAACGAAACTAGTACGACGGTCAGGATTTCTTTACCAGCTGTTAAATTGCATGGCAAGGAACACGACAAAAACAACGTTTTGCTTTAAGCACACTTGTTGTGAGAAGATGCAAGTGAGCTCAGGCCATGGGCTGACATTCTTTGGCAGTGCTTCCCAAGCAGGCTTACAAGCTGCAGATCAAGCTCCTAATTCCTTCTTCTCTTAAGACTTAAGCACCTAATGGGAAGTAAGAGTACCTCACACTTAGGAAAACTGGATCCCGCCTTTCACGCCAAGTCAGTCGAGCTAGAAAGCAGTCTCCAGAGAGGGTGCTGGAAGGCCGTACAGACTATCCCAGATGGCAAACTACTAACTCCATCCTGATGAAAACTTGCAATATTACACTTCATTATACCATACTTTACAGACTTTCCTTAGCACAAATGAGTAAAAAGCAGGAGCAGACCTGCATATTGCAAGCGGAAGAGTTTCCTTGACTTGAGTATGATGTTATTAAATGGTAAAACTAATCTGAGGTGATCTAAATTAAATTAAATGTCAATTAGTCTGCATAAAGAGATCAAGCTCAGTAACAAGAAAATAATTCCAAAGTCTCGCAGCAAAAACTAATAGAAAAATGCGATGTATTAGCTCAAATGTTAGATCTCAGTCGGGTTTGCAAGGCTGAATCCTTACTAGTGGAACATAACAAAATATAAAGCTGACTGCTGCACGAATCGCAAGACCCTGTCACAGAAATCGACACTAAGGAGCATCTAAGAGAAACTGTAGAAGTATTCCTCACAGGATTCATCAGCAGTGGCTGTAAAAACAACAGAACTGTTAACATTAACAGAAACAGTAGTCTTGTTCTCTGCTTGCTTCAAAATACAACTTGAGGTATCTGCTGTACTAATGTTTCCCTTAAGTATAGATTAGCTGACATTTGATCGCACTAGATCTTTCAGCAAAATGATCCTGTATCTACATTGCAACACACCTGTCATCAACTTACTTGTCCACATCTGGTAATAGTAATGTAGACTAATATTCCATGAAGGATTAGTCTACTAGTTTATACACAGTGATTTCACTGGAAATAACAAAAATCTCATCTGTTTAAACGCACTGTGGCCAACTAGAGGAGGGAAAACTGCTTACATGCGTATTATCTCTATGGTCAAGCCTAGCATAGCAGGTTAAGACTATGTCAACTGTATACATATATATATATTTATATATGTGTATATATATAGACCTCTGCAGGAAAAGAAGTTTAAAAGGAGCAAAGACTGACGCAAAAGAAAGAACAGCACAGTTTCAAATAGGATCAAAAGTCAATGGAACAAAATTGCTAATCCTGGACAATCAGAACTACAGGAAAAGGGCTCCTCTTCAGAACAAATACTTCACCATCCAACAAAACAAAGCTTCAGGAGAGAAAGTCAACAGGTCTCTGTTTTGTTCCACAAACTTGGTGACTCAAAAAGTGTCACTGCACTGCTTTTTACCTGGTCCATCATTACGATAGTATTGAAGACTTTGCTTAATTGCACCTTTTCCTTTCCTCTAGCTAAGCTTTTTCATGGACATCTGAAAATGGTACCAAGATCAAAAGAAAATGATCTAGGCCATCTGTTCCTGGCAGACTACTAAAAAACTATGCAACTGATCAGCAAGACGATACGAATCAGAAGTCTAGCCTACACCTGTAGGTGACCATCCAGCTGAAAGCATCCACCTATACAAGGCAAGAAGTGTGTTTCCCTTACTATTTTTCCACTCTTTCTGCTTGTCAGATAAATTATAACTGTTTCATTGACAGCTGTACTTATAATTAAGAGAGACCATAACCCTTTCTTTCCTCTCTGGTGTGGCTGACAAACGAAGAGGGTACCTTCAGTGATAAATCATAGCTTAGCACCGTACACTGGTTTAGTGGTTTTGTGCCTTGTGTTATGTATATCTCAGCTAGTGAAGGTTTATAAACTCAAGCACATGGTTTTTTTGACATTCTTCATGGCACACTACGTATGCCACACATCTGTGCTCAAACCCATTTAACTGGTCTGTGTTACCAGTCACATTAACAACATTGGCTTCTCCAGCCCCCTTCCAGTTTGCTTGAATCACAGTTCTCCCTGCTTCTTCCAGCTCCCATACACTTCAGCAGTAAAAATTAAAGATTGTTTACCTGGAAGGTATTCTTAAACTTCTACAAAGCTATTAAAATCTGTAAGATGAGAATATAATGAGAGATTACCTGTATGGGTAGCCATGGTATTTGGAGCGGAATATGGATAACAGGAAGCTGAAGAAAAAGACCACCAGACCCAGGCCTACCAGACATATTACTGGGAAGAAAATAACTTTGTTTATTAGCACATAAAAGATTTTAAACTGGAATTTCTACCAAGAATATTATTTATGTCAATCATTTATGGAGAATTTTGACACAGTTAAATGAAAAAAAGTTCCTGTCTTGACTACTGATGCCCACTATCTCCTGACAGAGCTTCAAACACATACGGAAATAGTATTTATAGTTATCAAGAAAAAAATAACTTGTCAGTGTGAATGTATTTTCAAGAAAAAAGAGCAGCAATTTGCAGCTCAAATGTTTGTGGATGCAAACACCTTACTGCTGATAATGGATTTAATAACCCTGTAAATTACCCACATCAAGGAATGTAATTTCAGGTATTTGCTTGTTCTTTTTGGAAAACAAATTACATTTATAAAAATGTCCCTTGACTAATATTCTCTCTAGTCAACCATCTAAGGCTGAAGTAACAGCAAAGGCAGTTTAGTAACTACTTTATCTAGTTCTTAGCGGCTAAGACATTTCACTGCTCTAAGTTCCAAGGCTGGTAGCCAAATCACTCTTTACTCCTAACTTGATAGCAGTATAATTCTTTGGGTTTTGAAGATAAATAACAATGACACAGACTTTCTCACAGCATCCAGATGCAAGTGCTTTGAGCCTCTTCAGGCAAAGAATGAATTAGCAAGGTAAATGCTTAAATTAACAAATAAAATTTGGAACACCAGTTGGCACCCAGTGTAATAACAGCATAAAACCTTTTTGATCATGATAGCTTGCTCAATTGCATGTAAATAAATACATTAAAAGGGCAACACGTTACAAGCTGATGCATATAATTGAGATGCAGCTCGTCTACATTAGGTAATGTTTTGGTTCTAGTGAGCTACTTTGATTTTAAAAGCTGCTCCTCTTATACTGCTCCTGCTTTAGCCAAACCTTTGCTATTTAATTGCAATATTCATGCTTCAAAAGTGTGCTGGCTTTGAGCAAAGGATGAGTAACCATGAAGCTGGGGAAGCTGACAATGACGCCTTTTTTCATTAAAACTGACCATGTGGAAACTGATGCACGTCAATTGAAATGTAAAATTCCTGCAGTTATTCTGAGAAAACCAGCTATGTATAAAAATTATAAACACACTTCATTATAAAGAAATCATGGCTCACAAATATGATTTCAAAGCGTGAATGAATGAATTGCAAAGCATGAAAAATGCAAGGCACGTACACGGAAAGCATTCATATAATGGCACAGGAAGACAGTTTGAATTTATACTGCAGCCCACTGTTACTTCACTGTGTCCATGTTCACAGACCTAGGTCTCAGGCATGATCTAAGATTATACACCAATTAAACTCATGTCACTGTCTTGTTTGACATCAGTATTAAAGACAGATACTGTAGAAGATATTCAGAATTAAATTATACGTCTACAGCTCATGGAAGAAGAGCCTCAAACCACTACAGATTAGAGATCTCCAGCCAACATTCAACCAGCCGTTACGAAGAACCATAGAATGTTTTTACAGAAAACAGCTGGCCAGCCCTATCTGCAACACTGTGTATTACATAGAACTGATCTAGAAAGAAAGTGAAAGCAGTGTAGGAAAAAATGTATTATTAAAGGTACAAAGGCAGATGCACCTATTTGTTTCAACTTACGTCATACACAGTAAAAGTTTATTCGATATAACACTTAGGAAGTTTAAATCTGGATAAAATACTTTCATGTTGTGTGTTTATGCAATTCATTGCCAAAAAATCTTGCAAATATTCTGAATGACAACAACATTCAGAAAAATATAAAACTTGTACTTCAGGCTAAGAAAATTTAGACATTAGATTAGGATTTGTTCTGTACTACATTGACTGCTGGGCTTTCAGGTTCCTCTGGAGACAGGACACTGGCAAAGTGTACCAAGCAGAAGAATCTTCACACTCCTTCAGATGTCATCTGCAGCATCTTAAATGCCTACATTCATTTTGAAAACAATGTTTCGAAACTCTTGTTCTTTATGTCGCTGACTTTCAATATAATTCAAGAGCCAAAAAGCATTTATGCAGTACTATGTAGTGGAGACACTGTGTCAAGCTGTACCTTTGCTGAGTAAGCTTAAAATATGTTTTTACTGTTACAACTTCATGTGAATGTAGTTTTATCAGCAGAATTTTTCTACTTTCCTCTTCTCCACCCCACAAAAGGTAAAAACTGGTTTAAAGTAGAGAACTTCTGAAAACTTAATCAGATATTCATTTGTAATTTCTCAATGTCTTATAATTGTCTACACATTGTCTTAGTTGTGCTAAATAACTTACTTCGCCTTTTTCCAACATCCCCTTTGGAGGTAGCAGCTTCATTCAGGAGTACCATTCCCATGGTGATAGCAGCATCTGTATTGCTATTGTCAAGGAAAACAGCGTATGCATGGATACCTCAGAAAGCCCCAACAGTACATCTATGAACTAAAGCTTTCAAGTTCATAAAACGAAAGAAAACATTTATACATAAAACTGCACATCACAATCTGTACTGTACCACTACACTCACCTGTGGCAAAAAAAATGTCGTAAGATTTTCCTTTGTGCATTCTAAATAAAAAAGGAAAGATGGTTCAAAAAGCTTTAAAGGACAACTCATGAAGTAGGACACACAAATTATGGACAGTTACGGAAATAGCTATTCCTCCATTATCTCACCATATTCTGTATATTGGAAGTAAATGATTTAAAAAGATGAACACTAGAAGAACCAGCAGTCATTCAGTGTTGTTGCGCACATTCATTCGCCATTTGATGCAAACTGCAGCAGATGAACACTGCTTCTAGATAAGACTTGAGCTTCCTCTTTAGTGTCATATTGCTTAACAGTTCAGAAGAGAAACATCTCAGAAGCAAAGTCCTCAGTCACTTTTGGTGTTTTATTGTCTCATTGTAATTGTTACAAATATTAACAAGCACATAATGATAAATCAATTTAACTAATTTAGCAAGATCTTAAACCATTCACTTAATTGTTTCTTTGAAACTGTATAAATAAAAACAGAATGCTGAAGCAGGCGTGCATCATGGGAGCCATATCTCACAATTTCAGGAAATAGAAACTTCACCAGAATTAACCGATTCTTGAATAAGGTTGGATTTTTAAGCATTACTTACCCCAGGGCTGGGTAGCAGGATGACTACAAACTTTAAGAACCAGAAGGCATTTCTATTTATGCACACAGATAATTCACGGGAGATACTTCAAACATGCTACATCCATAAACAATATCTGCATCCTGTAACACTATACTTGCACTAATCCTATCAAAATTCATATTAGTATTTTTCATGTTAGACCAAAATGCTCAAAGACATCTGAAATTTCAGTTATACAATTTCAATTAAGCTGAGCCTGAGCAAAAGGCTTTAGAAATGTCAATGCTAACTTCATCACATTTCATCGGAGTTTAGCAGCCTGATTCAGGTTTGATACTTCCAAATTTCATATACATAGAAAGAGAAAAGTCAAAAGAAGAATAACAGGATTAACAAAAGCAAACATCAGTGGTCAAAGGAAGCAGATGCCAATAGGCAATGTCAAGGAAATACAAGTTTTAGCACCACGTCTTATCATAGAATGAATCATAGAATTTTTTGGGTTGGAAGGGACCTTAAAGATCATCTGGTTCCAACCTCCCTGCATGAGCAAGGACATCTTCCACCAGCCCAGGTTGCTCAGAGCTCCATCCAACCTGGTCTTGAACACTGCCAGGGAGGGAGCAGCCATAGCTTCTCTGAGCAACCTATGCCAGTGTTTCACCACCCTTATGATGAAGAATTTCTTCCTAACATCTAATCTAAATCTGCCCTCTTTTAGTTTACAGCCATTCCCCCTTGTCCTATCACTACACACCCTTGTGAAAAGTCCCTCTCCATCCTTCCTGTAGGCCCCTTCAGGTACTGGCAGCTGCTCTAAGGTCACCCCGGAGCCTTCTCTTCTCCAGGCTGAACAGCCCCAATGCTCTTAGCCTGTCTTCCATATAGACATCTACCTACAGTCCTAATATAGACACATATTAGAAACACAGTAGTAGCCCAAATTACTTTCTTCCACGTGCACACAAGGTATAATGCATAGGGTCACTCTCATGAATAAATGGTTACATTCATGTATTCCAGAAGCTTATTACTAGACTTGCAAAAATAAATTTAAAAAATTTGCAAAGTTTTGGAGAAAAGAACTCTGTTCTGGAATCCACAGGACTATGCAAATTGGAAGGGAAGGCAAAAATTACTTTCCAAAAATTTTGCCTGTTAAGATTCAGATTCAAGTACAGAAGAGACTGGAAATGTCCTGTGCTACTGCTATGCTGCAAGCAGCAAAAAAGAATTGGAAAGAATGTCAAGATAATCATTCAGTTCTCTGCTTTCAAAAGTTACAAAAGCATAAAGACAAAGTAATTGAGGAAGCTGCAACAAGAAGGGCTGAGAAAAAAAATTCCATATATATTTCTACCCTATCATGAGAAGCCCCTAATCTAGCACTATCTAATAACAACTTTATTTTACCAGTCCCTCACTTAGATTTATAGCGGTGGTTTTGTTCCTAGATTAACTGAGTCATGGGAAAACACCAGGGAAAACAATGTGAGGGTAATTCACCAAAGCCTCTCGGGGAACTGCTACTTCTTGCAAAGGCTTTGGACTGCTTTGTAAACGGAATTTGTTTGCTTTATTACCCCATGCGATATTGCACATAATGGGGTCCTTTGCTATTTCCCTTACCTGGTTGCTGCTCAGAAACAAACCAACCAACGACACACTAAAAAGCCATTTGGCAGCCAACCATTGCGTAACCGAGTTCCTGTCTTCTCACCAGACCATGAGTTTTAATTCACGTTTCTCACCATCAGGAAGAACGGTCTCACAAAAGCAGCTCTCTGCTCTGCGACCGAGAATTTTACATCTGTCACTAGCTGAACGGTGCTGACGTTTTTTCTTCTCTTTTGGAGTCTCACATCATTACCCCTCAAGCTTCCCTCACAGTGTCACTATTTTTGCTGCAGTTGTTGCTTTTTAACTTCGGTCCCCGCTGGCGAGCCAGCAGCCTCACCGGTTGTCTTTCGGCGTCAATGAGATCAGCTTCACAGCTTCACACTCCGACACTGAGCACGGCGCTTGCCTCAGCTCTGGGATGTTGAAGCGAAAATTCAGTCTGAGTTGTGATGTCAATGCCATCATTAGCTTTTTACCACGGAATAGACAACTTATTATTTTTCATTCCTGTTTCTAACTTTGTATGTTATGTCTTTACATTATTTGATATAAATGTACTTATTTTCTAATTCCTCTTTATCTCCCTCACTACGCAGTACAAAACTATTCTGAAAAGAGGAGGGGAATGCGGCACTCGGATAAACTATGGCTACCAAATGTTTTACATTCAGATGCTCCTGTTTTCTGATAAATGTATCCCCCTGTAGCAATTTTTTTTTGTGGAAATCCAGTTACATGTCTTCTCCAATTTGGAATTATTTCACTTCTACATATTAAACTTCTGCTGCTCCTTTTCCCAGCTGTTACATGGTTTTTATAGGAATTGACAACATGTATTATTTGATTAGTGCTTTTGAAAAGGTTCTGGATGTTTTGATACATGAAGAAGAACTGTTTTGAAGTGGATGAAAAACACAATCATCATAATTCATAAAATTATTCAGAAAATGATCAGCAGTAACAGAGCATAATATTCAGCCCTGCAAAAATCAAGAAGCTTGATCAGAAGTCTTAAAGAAAACACACCGTCAAACCCAAACAAAAATGACTGGACCAATAAAGTACAGAATGATAGATACTTTACAAAATGAAAGTGATTTCTAGTAAATTCTGGATACTTTTTATTAGCATACTTTAATAAAAAATTTAATCACTGTTAATTCTAGCAAGAATGCCCAAAAGGAAGAAAACCTCACAGTTCATAGGTTTATTAACGTGATATATAAGTTTATCTTTACTTCACAGATTTAATCCTAATTAGTAGTGAGTGTGGAATAACAGGAAGACAGAAAATAGGCTGACTAACATTTGGTTTCCTTTGTGAAAAATGTTTGGTGGTCTCATTCATATTCTGCTGGATTTCTGCCAAGAGTAGAAAATCCAGCATTACAGCATCAGACACATAAAGAAACAACTACCTTTGGCTGCGGATCATGCAGTTGCTTATTAACACGTGAGAAAGAAAAACCAGGGAACAAAATATTCATCCACGTGAGTCCATGCTCAGTTTACTGTTAACTAAAATGGGGACAGATTATCACACAAGCTTTAAAAACTTCTGGTTCACCTTATCATACACGGAACAAAGAAAAGCACATACATTTTTTGGGAAGGAGTAATATGTTCAACAGGAAAATCTATGCTTTTTCGTCATCTCTTTTTTCTTCTTTTAGGTTGTTTTTTTTTATGGTTGGGGCATGATGAGTAGAACATGAGAAAATCTCTGCTGGTCCCTTATGAGGGGGGCGTATTTTCCTAACTAAGTGGTATTTGTCTTAACTTTTTCCTATTAATAGCTAAACCTCTAAAATACCTGGTATAATTTCAGAAATACTGACCACACAACAGGTTCTTTATCTGAACCATTTCAGGTTGGATTTAACTTTGAACGTATATTTGAAAAATCCCAGCATAACATGCATTCCTACTTTGGAAATATTCTTCAGCTATGTGCAGTTCTTGAAAACAAGGTATTAGCCACTTTTCCCAGCTCGAGGATCTGATTTTTTTATGGTAGGTTGAAGAAACTAATCAAGACAAAAAGCACGGTTCTGCAACGGAACAGGTCTCCTGGATTCTTTCAAGACATTGTTCCTTCAGTTCATGAAACAATGAGCAATGATTCCAGTATTCCCCTTCTGCAATTCAATGCGCAACCAATTCTCAGTTAGAGCAGAACCATGGCAGCGGATGATGCACCAGGCCTTGAGGGCCGAGGAAGGAGGTGCGTTTCAGATACCAGTCACTGTATGGCTCGTCTCAGTGAAGAAGGATGACTCCTAACTCAGAAGCTGAAAAAGTGGAGCACAGTCTGAAATATTATTTATTTGAATACAACTTTAATTTAAGCACCAACTGTACACAATCAAGATGTACTTCAGCATTTTTTAATGGCCCGAATTCTAGTTGTACCGATACTCACAATAAGCCTGAATATTCTTTCAGCTTAAAACCTTCTGGCTTCAGCTACAGCAAATGGCTTTTCAAGAATTTGGGGAATTATTACATGAGCCTTGGCCCTGGAGTTCCCCTCAGCTCCTTGAAATGTGCAATTCATAACAGCAAGGTAGCTGGAAGTTTGCATTTCAACCATTTAAATGCCAACCAAAGTAAACCACTTTCCTTTTTGATTC